AAGAACCTACTACTCTTCAATGAAACTGTCCCAGTTGTACGACAGGCTAAATACCTCGGAGTCACCATTAACGATAGACTAACTTGGGCTCTTCATATCAATAACATCAGAAACCAAGCTCTGAGAGTGATTAACTGCCTCCTTCCCATCCTTCGAAAATATTCAAAGCTTGATCTTGATAAGAAGCGTCTTATTTACCTTACCACAGTCAGACCCATTCTCACTTATGCTTCACCTGCTTGGACTGCGGCCAAGCCTGCTGACATTAACAAACTTCAAGTAGTTCAAAATAAATTTGTAAGAATTGCTACAAATGCTTCATACTATGTAAGGAACTCTGTGCTACACAGCGATCTTCGCATCGAACCTCTAAAAGAATATCTGCAACGAAGCAATGAAAACTTCTTTCAGAAAGCTTTGGATTGTAGTCTTAAATTATTTTCAGATCTTCAACTACGAGATCCTCGCAGAAGATCAATATCTACGTCCTTTTGCTGCATTCATGCTTAACATAGATGATAATCACCCAACTTAAACAAGTCATAATCAAGCAGCATTCAGCGAAGCCACAACCCGGGAAGGTGACCTCCCACGTGATTATGGACTTAGTGCATTTCACCTTTTTGGATCATCTAGTGCCCTCGACAAGGAACGTACATACTTGTATATATTTATAGCCTTTAATTTACTGTATCATATTTATATCATGTATGAATACCTACTTTTTTATTTAATACTCATTTTCATGAGCATTTTACTGTCATCTGGGTACTCCTACACATGATGAACTCTAACTGCTAAGCTCCGCCCACTGCTCATGATTGGATATAACAGCACTTTTACAATTTTTTGTGGCATTCTCTTACCAGGACTATTACTATTATGAGAAAAATAAGTGTTCATAATTCTACTCGGCAGATAAATTTAAAAAAAAAAAAGTGTTTATAAGTTTTTTGCCCTAGCAAATGGCAAGGACTCTCGGCCATCACATGACATGGTCGACTACTGGACTTTTATTCTCCATGTAAATATTGTAAATACTTTTTCATATTTTATCAAGACTCTCAATTATCAGTACTCTCATCTGGAACTTCCCCCCCCCCCCGTCTACTTGAAATTATCTTTGTATCTTATTAATGTTTCTGAACTCATCTAGTATTTGAATTATTTATTACACCACCCCACGATGTAAAATTCTGCAGTGGCAAAGTGCCACCTTTCCCTTTATTTTTTACATCTTGTTTCTGTGACACCTTTTGCTGATGTTCTTACTTCCAGGATGCCATATTAGAAGACAAGTGGCAAAAAGCCTGCAAATTCACGATGGCTAGGCCCAGTATAACAACGGTAAATGGAATGGAGACTGAAGGGTATCCCTTGTATTATTGCCAAGTTGTTGTTTCATATATGTTAACCTGAGTAGTTGAATGTTCCACATATATACTTTTACCTAGAACTGGTGCTCGTTTGACTTTTTAAGTAAAAATATATCGATATGCACATGGAAAAAGTCAAGGGTCTACGCAATACCAAGTTTGTGCAATTCTCCGATATTTTTTTTTACGTGAAAATAAATTGACGTGTACGTGGATTAAGTCAAGGGAGTGTAAAATGCCTAGTTTGTGCAATTCTGTGATTTTTTTTTTAAGTGAAAATAGGTCAATGTGTACATGGATACAGAGTTTGTGCAATTCTTAGACTTACTTTGTCTTTGTGTAGCAGCAATTTTTGACGCTAAAATCGCCACTACGCAAAGCCAAAATAACAAGTCAAAGAATTGTACAAACTCGGGATCCATGTACTGCTAAAAATCACCAAGGGGTATCCATAAATATACTTTTACCAAAGTAGGATTTTGTAAAATTTGTGCTTTTTTTTTTTTTTTTTTTTTTTTTGTGTGTGTGTGTGTGTGTGTGTGTGTGTGCTTGGTTGGTTCTAATTATAAAGACTCTTGAGAAATTTGAGAATATCCTACAAATCTCTCGATTACCCCTAGTGTGACTGGAAGTCTTTGCTTTCTTTTAAAATAAACAAAGATATGAATTAAAGAACCGAATATTCCTGATTTATCCACTCCAGATAGAATATGGTTTGGTTTATTAGATTACGGCAAAGCACTCAAGGGCTATCTGCCTTAAGAAGAAGAAGATTAAGGCATTCCCCGTATCGAGAACTCAATCTCATTCCGGGAGGGATGCCTTCGTGGAGGACTTTTTAAGGGAAACTGGCTCGTATACACGTTACACATGGGGAAAACCACGAAAACACCAATGCAGCCAGCCCGTTCGCGGGATTCAAACCTCTGACCGAACTACCAGTGTTCAGCGACATTACCGCTCGGCCGCTGGTGGGCTACCCAGATAGAATGTGATGATGATACCTCAGTAGTAGGTTGTTAAGGCCTACTGTGTACAAGAGGCTGGTTAGAGTATTGATTACTTAAAGTTCTTGTTACATTTTGCTCAAATCTTTGTTTTTACTACGTTGGGTGATAATCATTCTGCCACCCATGTGCTGCGCAGCATCTTGCCCTCACTAGGTAATTTAGATAATTTATCTTCCATTAGTATCCATTCTCACTAGGTATCACTTAGATAATTTATCTTCCATTAGTATGAAAGTATTTTATATTTTCCATCCATTTATTCTATTAGCATTTCATTATTAGATAATGTATTCTATAAAAGAGTAAAACAAGTAATTTTACAAACATAGCCAATTAGTACTGTTAAAACTAAATTCTGCATGAACAAACCCAAAAGCTGCAAAATTTTCCTGCAGTTATAAAAAATTTCAGAAATAAAAAAAGAGAGAGACCAATAAACTTTGCTCTTGCCAAACTGTTTTCTTCCTCCCATAATCTTCTGCATAAGCATAAATCTGAGTAAATGTTCGATTATTTACCTTATACGTCTTATATGTCTTCATGAAAGGATGTTCTTCTACAAACTCAATGAACATTCTTGGGGAAACTGACTTGTATTTCAAGGAACTTGTGGAAAAAATTATAAAAAGACAATACTGCTAGCCTGTTTTTCAGAAAACATCTTGAGCAGAAGAGATTCACATTTTTATACCTTAGTTATTTTTCACAACCCAGTAATAAACTAAATCTCGTCTAATCAGCAAACCATGTACTACTTAAATTAGCATGTATTAAAATAAACAGTTTGCAATAACCCATTGGAACTTCATTTCTATTAGTTAAATATTAATAAATGCTGTATAGTTATTTCCCACAAAATAAAAAAAAATAAAAATAAAATAAAAGACTAACTGATTAAAGAAGATTTAAGATTAACTGAAAGTCTGAATAGCAAACAGCATATAAGTATTTAGAGCTAAATCTGTATCCTTAAATTCAATATTCATGTTCATAATATACTACATAGGCAAATTACAAATAACCTTTCGAAAAATATTTGTCTCAACCGACTTTTAAGACAATACTTTAAAAAATTCCCTGCCTACTGCACAAACTCTCATTTACAAATTTGGAGACACTCTTAATATTGTTGCCCTACGATTCATGGTGTGCGGCATGGGGGGCACTCTAATGAGGTGAGCAAGTCCTCTCGAGAGGTTGGTAATAGGAAAAAGAGTGGTGGGAGACACTCGGACCCATCACCCCCCCAGTGCGCTCTCCTTCAAAACTGGGCATGGAACTGAGCAAAGTTGTACTGTCGCCTGTATAGTGCTCAAGGGCAATCTTGCACTCCTTGCCACAATGAATTTCGTGGGCTTGTTCTAATGCTACTATCAGACAATAGCGTGCAGCTCACAATTTTAAATTACATACTATAAATTTCAAAATTGAAAATATTAATTTTATGCAAGAGAAGTAGCACATAAACTCACTCAAACATAGGTTAAAAAATTATGACTGTTTGTTCATGATTTATTCATCCATCTATGATAGTCCAAGTCATAGAAAATATTGATTTTGGGGTCACAGAAACCGAGACTGGCACAGTATCCATTCTTAGAATTACTAGATCAGAGACCATACTAAGAACTCTGGTATAAGTGAATGAGAAAAAACAATTTACTGTAGATGTCCACTTTCAAAAAGTATATCTACCCTGAGTAAAAGCAAACATTTTTATGAACATTTAACGATTAAATACAAAACAAATTAAGAGAAAGTAATACTAAAATGAATAGTAACATGTAATTACTTTGCTATTAAGAGGTAATAAAACATTTAAAAACTTGACAGTTGGAGATTTCAAACTGTCAATTTTTTTTACTGCCTCCCTCATATTTGCAAAGTATTTACAAACTATAAATAAATTATGCCTTTGTGATTAATAGCTATCCCCAATTTCTAGTTACTCACTCTTAGTTTTTTACAATGCTGATTTACTTGATAATACATTGCAACTAGAAACCAAACACAGCAAAGTCATGCTATCATATGTTAAAATGTTTTATAACATTAATATAAATTATATGAATTCAAGTATTATCATAATATTAAATAATACTTATAAGAAGGAAACATGGGATAAGGAGGAAAGTTACGTTACACGAATATATAATTCCGTTCCTGGTTACGTCATAACGTAAATTACAATACAAATTATTAAAGATTTAGTCCAGCCAAATGGTTAATAACCATTAGATTAATTGTCAACAACAGAATTCTATACATTAAATATCACAATAAAGAAACCAATATGTTTCTTTCATGCGTGATCGCATTTTTTTTAAAGGGACATGAGTCAGCTGCAGATATGAAAACGTTAGCCACCCCAGCCACCTGCCAGAAATTTTCCGTAAATTTCAGGAGTTGAAGCATTAACAGGAATAAAACAGAAACAGAAATGACATAACTAAAATAACACGGTATTTTCATATGTTAAAATCTGTAACCTTATAAGGATATATTTTCTTAATGATTTAGGGTACAATGCGTGGGCTATGTCTCTTCAGGAATTGTATAACAAGAAAAATATTCCAATAAAAAAAATGAAAACTTGTATAGAATTTGCACATACCTTCAATAGAACACACGATTTACCAACAAATGAATGCCACTGATACGCTTCAACTAATCATAAGATTGCATTACACTACCGGTAGATTATTTAGCATAAAATCTTGCCAAACTTTTAAATCGGTTTGCGGCCTTACCATGGAAAGAAATTTGCACTTCAAATTCTGTCCGCTAGGGCATTTATATAGCTGTAAATACTGTGAAAATTACATACATATAAAAACTTGCAAATGGGAGTTATTTAATAACAGATTATAATGAATATGATAAAAATATGACTTTTTTTAAAATCAAATATGGAACTTATTAAAGAACTTAGTAAATTTAAAAATTGAATTATAAAAATTTGTGTCGAAATGCTTTTATGATATTTTAAAAATAAAGTAAGTTCTTTTTCCTATTTTTTATGGTTTAATGTGTTACTTATTTGAACATGTTTAAAATTACATACTGGTAAAAAATTATGCCGATTCATTCTCTAACTGAGAGGGCGCTCTGAATGATTTGTTGGGAATCTGTCGAATTGTTCGTGCGGTACTCTAAAGTTTGATAGTTGAAAAATAGTGTTTAGAATATTTGTTTTTTTTTTAGCAATAAACAACATGGAGTGCCTTATAGGTATTGCGTTCAAAGATTTTGTAATTGTAGCTGCTGATATGAATGTAGCTCACAATATTGTTCTTGTCAGAAAAGGTACCAGAACATCATTTCTCGTTGTTTACCGCGTAGAATATATTTTACTTTTAATTAAAAAAAAAAAAAAAAAAAAAATGCTGGCTTGTCAAGTTTAACAGTATTTATGTTCCCTAGTGTTCTGCTTTGTAACAGATTAATTTATTTATCCTAGCTTTACAAGTGTATGAAATGTAGTTGTGTTTCTAAAATATAAAAGAGATCATAGTTTTTGCTCTTATTTTTGACGTATCCTTACAATACTTTCATATTCGTTTATTATTGCAATTAAAGTATTTTGTAAATTTCAGATGATGATAAAATGTATAAGCTTAGCGATCATCTATTGATGTTGGTTTCTGGTGAAGCTGGAGATACCATTCAGTTTGCTGAGTTTATTGCAAAAAATATTCAGTTGTACAAGATGAGGAACGGTAATTTGTTCTTTTTTTTTTTTTTTTTTTTTTTTTTTTAACTTAAAGAAAGAGAAAATTAAATAATACTGTTCTGTTATCAGGACCGGATTCAGAAATGCATATATGTATGTGTTCATGTATGCATGTATATATGTAAGTGCGAATGTATATGTGTGTATACATGTACATGCACATACATACACACATTCGTACATTTCTGGATCCGTCCTGATAAAAGAACAGTATCAATTAAATACTGATATTGGTCTGCAACAAAGTATATTCATCTAAATGTTTGCTTACTAGGTTATGAATTGTCACCAACTGGTGCTGCGAATTATACGAGACGAAATTTGGCTGATTTTCTGCGTAGTAGGGTGAGTTAAATCTGTATATATGTATTCATAGGTAAAAAACTTCAAATGTCACATGAATATAGCACACATGCATGTATGGTTCTAAATATATTTTAAAAATTTCAGAAACAAATGTTACACACGAAAAAAGAAACTTTTAATGCAAATAAAGGAATTTTTAACTTTGTGTACAATCAAACTGTTTTAAAAGATATTTATTAAAATTATGTTATTTCATACCTTTTTTTGTCAAATCATCTGCTGCTCCATTCCTGATGGCATACCACAATGAGATAGTATTTGAATAAAAACCAGCATGCTTGAACTTAAGCATGAAAGCAGGTTTGTCTTGATGGCTATTTCCTCTTAGGCTGTGGAGGAATCTGAAAGGAAAACAGTACTTGATAAATACACAAGTTTATATTTTAGTTAAAATTGATGTCAGAAAGAGCTCAACCTCACCATCAAAGGTTTTACTTTGAAAATGAAGGATAAACAGTAGATAAAAAGAGAGCAAAAATATCAGCTTTACACTCTTTTCCCAAGCTTTGAACCATCTAATATGTAGCCATTCATTATTTGGATAATATTCATCAAATCTTTTCATTGCCAGGAAAAAGAAAATTCCCAGCCTGCAGTTCAATTTCAAAATAGACTGACAAAGATCCCTTCACTAAGCAATACCTTGAATGTCAGTAGAATCACACAGATCTAGTAAAAGATGGTTCAAAATTCAGTTCATTATTCAGTTTAATCTTCAGAATAACCTGAATAAAATCCTGCTTAGTTTTTAGCCTTCGTGGTTGGAATTTATTATAAAACTATTAGATATCTGAAAAAGTCTGAAACTTTTTCTCAAAAAGCCTTTAAGATTTATATTTGTGCCTTAAACGATATATTGAAACAAACTGAAATTTGTCTCAATGTATCGTTTATAGTATTTTTATTGTGATAGTATCTGCTGTATTTTTACTATAACATGTAGCTAAGGTATACAGTTTTTCTTATAATTTTGAGTTTACAATTTATATCTTTATGTTTAAAAGATACCTCTCATGCCTTTATGATAGTATGAATAATATAGTTACTATATTAAAATGGAAACTTTTATTTTTAGACCCCTTATGCTGTTAATCTCCTTATGGCTGGATTTGATAGTCAAAATGGTAGTGAGCTTCACTATATTGATTATTTAGCAACTATGGCAAAACTACCATTTGCTGCTCATGGTTATGCATCATATTTTGTATTGAGTATCATGGATCGTTACTATAGACCAGGTAATTTTCCTTTTCTTTTTCTGAAGTTTTTTTATGTAAAATAACATGTACCAAATTCAAATAATTTACTCCCATCCTGATGCCTGATAATAATAATTTGATGGTGTCAATTAAAATGGTCCAGTATTAAAAAAATTATGCAAAGCATCATTGGTGTAAAAATTGAAAATTTTGCAAGTTTTTAGCTTGAGATGTGGCCAGGAAATTGTAACAGCTTAATCAATTTAATGTTGTATTTAGTTCAAAGCATATAACATTGGTCCTTGATAATTGTCAGATATATCAAATTCATCTGACAAAATTATGGAGACAGTTCCTGTAACCTTGAAATATATCAAATAGGCACTATAATAATAATTTTAAAAAAGTTATTTACTACTAAATGACCGTCTAATTTACAATTATTAAGCCTATTTTGAGTTATATCTCCCTGTCCAGTTGGACAGCCAATAAAAGGAATTTTAGCAACCTCTAGATGCTGTAGTGCAAAACTGTGTTTCTTTTATTTGTACAAAAAATGCCATTTACAAAGACTAAAAGACAGTATAAAAACCTTTATTTGTGAAACCTGTGTGGATTTCTTCATCAAAGTAACTTCCACTGAACTAGTGAATTACTGTAAAATTTCAAATGTAAAGTCATGGAAAATGATTATATGCTGAAAACCAGTATTACTACCTCCTTGCATAGAATTTTAATACCATGCATGTTTTATTATCACATTTACTGTCTCTTGTAATGTAATTTTTCTTTATTCCGTTTTTGGATCTCTTTTCTTCAAAAATGCATTATGAGACATGAGTTTTGGTGAAATTGCTTCTGGTGCTTCTTTATTATTACAACCCTCTTATTTAAATGGCAGTGAAAACTGTTTTGTCAGTGGACTACTTCAAAAAACAACTATCTTCTTTAGAGGTTCTTTTTGTTACAAGTTGACTGTAAGTTATTGCGTGGTTAAGATGGCCATCTTTTGGCAATGGTTTGGGGAAAGCTGTTTAGTAGGGCAGCTGTTTTGCCACTGCATATTAATAAGAAGTCTTTGGGTGTTGTTTATAATAGAGACTATAATAGTGCTGTCATTACTTGTCACATTTTTCCTTACCTTCCAAATGATTCACTGAGGTTGCAAATGTTGAGACCAAAATGGCTATTAAATACTTTCTGATGTTAAATGTATTATCCGTAGTTTTAGCCACAGTTTATTTTAGGTAATGCAAATTCTTTTGATTTGTACTGTTGTATTTCAGTAGTTTAGAATTAGTATTGAAAATACCTGAATTTTTTTTTCCCATTATACAAAGCTTTACATTTCACCAACTTTTTTTTATATGATTATGGTTTGTATGGTCCTTAAAAGTTCTTAGGTTTTTTAGAATCAATTTTTGGTCCTTAAAAGTCCTTAATTTAGTCCATTATACAAAGCTTTACATTTCACCAACTTTTTTTTATATGATTAGGGTTTGTATGGTCCTTAAAAGTTCTTAGGTTTTTTAGAATCAATTTTTGGTCCTTAAAAGTCCTTAATTTTGGACAAAATCAGCAGAAGGTCCTTGAATTTTAATCATCTGAAATTTCTGTCTGTTTTTACGACTGCCATTTTGAGTGCGAATTAGCATTTTGGAGGAATATTTTTGGCGATTCATTGTCAGATATGGTTATCTTGTGAATGGGTTATAATTTGATCCTATTTCTAATATAAATGGTGGGATACTCGAATTTCATAGTGAAAAAAGTGAAACATAAGCATTTTGAAATTATTTCATTTTTTCTAATGAAGAACTCTTAAAACTTTTTGCTTTTGTGATGTAAATTCTTTTATTACATAGTTCTGAGTTTAGTGCCTTATCAACATTTTGGCAATTTTAAGATCCAGTTTCTGTAGAAAATTTTTAATTTCGAGATCTGGGAATTTTTCAATGATTTTTTAAAACAAAGTAACATTGATAAATTTCTTTAAAATAATGGTAAAATATGGAACAAAATATTTCTGGCTTTTTGCTATTACAGAATCGATAGGGTAAAATTTAGAAATTGCAGCTTGGAAAGTTTGGAAGGATTTGAAGGCAAGAATTTAGATCCATGATTCTAGAAGATAACAGAAAAATGTCTCCATGGTATTAACACATAACAGATGTATTCTGAAAAAAGTTTGCGATGAATTTCCTAATTTTTGGATAACATCCGGAAAAACAATGAAAACATAATATTTGAATGTTCTGAATTTTTTCCGATACTAGAATATTTTTCTTAGTACATTTATCTTCCCCTTATTTATTCTACTTTTTACTAGAGACAAGCATGAAAAATATCAAAAATGCTTCTACTTTTATCACAACAGGCATTATAGAAAAAAAAATGTTTTTATTAAGTAAAGAAATTGAAATCTGGTCTGAATGCATTGTACACAGGGCTGGCGCTAAGCATTTTCCACCTGATGCAATCTTTGTGGATTCTAAATTCTGCTTTGCCTGCTTTAAATTCTAAAAGTTTTGCTATTTCTAGATTTTGTTGCTTGGTTTGTTACTAAATTCTGAAAATTCTGCCACACCGTCTCTGTAACCAGCCCTTACCATATATATTTCATATTTCTTCTGAATGTTCATGTTACTAAAATAAAATTAGCAGTTTTTTCTATACATTCTAAATGTAATTAGTGTTTTTAGAATAGCAAATTTTTAATTAAATCCAAAAATTCTAAAAAGAAAAGGAAACTTGTTGAAGAAAGAAAGTGAATACATGAAGAGAAAGAAAATTATTCTTCAGAGATATGCACTGCTATTTTTATGTACATTTATTATGATGCAAATTATCCAATTGTTTATAATTTCAGCCTTTATTATAATTTCCCATTTCTATTTTCGGACTAGAATGCAAATCACTTAAACAGTTTTTAAATTGAGGTTTTTGGAGTGCAAGACAGTGTGTTTCTGACCTCCACTTGCTTGCTGCATTAGTTCCTTTCAGCTCTGATAATTCATAATTATTCGTCTTTTCATTATTGCTTCTGACGTTTGAATTTGTTATGATGATAGAGGTACTGAGCCAGCTTAAATTAAAATTAAATTGTGTAGTCTTTGACCATAAAATCCACATTTTTAATTTGAATTTGACTCTTCGTGTTTAACCGCTTTCCTTACAAATTTTTTTGAAAAAAATCATCACATTTTTTTATTTTATTATTAAATAAAACAAAACAAATCAAATTATGTAGGTTATAAGTTGAATTTTTAATTTTTTGAAGGTGTAAAAGCATTTAGTTTTAATATTAGTTTACTATTTCGAGTTATCTCGGGCAAACAAAAAAAGTTAAATATTAGTCTTTGTATCATAGTTTTTAAAACAAGGCACAACACACAGTGATACCTGACATTCTACACTGGTATCTGGTCTCTTTTTCTTACTGGCTTAGCGCTGAAATTTTTCACGGGAGCACAGAGCAGCACTCGTTGGATTTGATCCCCCACCCCACCTCTTTGTAATCACTATCTGAAAAATCGTTGCTTTTGCTATCTTGCATCATCACCATTATTTAATTTTTTTTTCAATGCATGTATCCTTCTTTATACATTACTAATCCACAAGCCAATGTATACTATACAATAATAAGGAAACGTAACCAGTCCTTTCAAAAGAACCGTGCAACCAACAAAACTTGGCAAACTGCCAATCTAAGCTGTTTCCCCCCCCCTCCAGACCAAGTAAAACCGTGATAAAACAAATCATACTAACAAATTCTGCTTCACCTGAATGGGATAATAATTAACTGTAATATATACAAACCCGAGATAACTCGGGATAATCAGGCAAGTGGTTAATTATATTACCACGAGCTGTAATTGGTTTTGTTAGCATAAGAACATGCCTTTATGTTCTTAATCCTTTTTAAATAAGAGGCTTATTTAAACCTTTGTCTGACTTTGTAGTTACTTTCACACAAAGCGATAATTTACTTCACGTATGTTTTTGGATTTTAGACCATTTAACTTTTATTAGATCAAGTAACCCCTCATAGGTACATTATGGAGAGGTTGATAGTTAGGAGATAAAGGACGAAGAAACATTGGTTTGCATATTGGAAACAAATTTCTAATTGTTAGAAAAGATGCTTAACCACTTAACTGTTTTGCCCGAAGACCGTTTGAGTGCCGTGAAGAAGGGACTTTTTTTATTTGCCCATACACCACTCGGGCAGTGCATTTTCCTAACACCGATCCACTGATTTTTCTCAGCTTTTGCATTTTTTCTTTGGCTGTATTTCTAATAGATGTCTGTAGTCAGAAGGATTAGCTCATAGAGCTTTTTCCCCTGAAGCAGAAAATGAGAAGTCATGACATAGCCATGATGACACTGAGCATGGAGATGAAATTCACAGCTTAGAAATTAGCGTTTTTGAACCAGCGTTTAAAATGAGCTGTGTGTGAAAGATAGCTATAATTTGAAAGAGACAATGTTACTGCTGTATGCATTTTACACTGAACCATTAAAAAATTTAATAATACTTACTCAATTTTAAAATAATAGATAAAATGCGCTACTCTTTTAACATAAAGTTCAGTGTTTTTATTATTATTATTATTATTTATTTGCAGGTTTTATATTCAATGTACGTTTATTTATAATAATTTCTAATCTGTATGCTAACTGAGAGAATTTTTATACTGCTTCTAAGATAACTATAATAGCAGCTATTTAAATTTACTCAAAAAACAACTTTACATTGACATAGTTTTAAACATGTATGACATATATGGCAAAATTTCTGCTAATCTATGTTTTGATTTTTTGCCTAATTGTAAATTTTACATTAGCATATTTCTCTTCCAATTTAATATAATAATAGTTATTTTTAAAATAATTTTGTAATTTATACTTACATCTATATTACAATTAAATAAATGTATATAAGATTGTTACCTTAATTTTGACAAAATAGCTTTACTCACAATACCTAAAACTGTTATTAAATTTTTCAAAGTGTGAGTAAAAGAGGCAGGTCTTTTCATGCCAACTACTTTGATGTTTTGTACTATTATATTTTATCTAGAATGCTAATCTAGCACAAAAACGAATTAATAATTAGTTGCAGAGGATACAATAAGGATAATTTTAACAAGTACTTAACAAAATTAGTTTGGTAAATACTTTTTATTCTTGTTGGTACTATTTTGGTACTATTCATAATACCGAAGATATTATCGATTAACTCGGATCCTTTTTGATTTCCTGTGAGGTGGAGCATACCTTTTGTGGTAGTTCTGGAAAACAATGTTTTCGCTGGAGTGACCTTTTTGTTTCTCGTTTCCCTTGACCATTAAATAATTCAGTTTTAGTTTGTGACACAATTTGATTTCTTCTGAATCTCTATTGAAACCTCTTTAATAATATCAAAATCTAAAACAGTTCCATCTTCTAAAACAAATACTTTATCTAAAACGTGGTTTCTCTATACTTTGAGGCAGAGCGCGAAAGGAGACCTTTGATTAAAACAAACTGCACATTTTGAAAAGAACGGAGAACTTGGCCCACTCTAGAGTCATAGCAAAGTTTTCAATCTATATACATTTCGTCGAAACTGAGAACGCAGTTTAATTTTTCTACAGAATTCAAATATCACTCTTTCCTTCTTTAGAGTAAGAACATCACTTTGAATTCTTGGACTACACTAAAATTTAATGCACCATTTCTTTAATTTGCTAATACTAGGTAAAAGGAATTCTAATTTTTTCTTTCCAAAAAGCATAGCTTTAAGATGACAGAGCTCTTATGTCAATGCAATGGGAAATATCTTCACTAGTCCACCTGATTTTTTCCTTCTTTTTCAGCAGTGCATTAATCTGCATCTTTATAAAAATAGGCGATTAGAGTTGACTTTAAGGTACCCCTTGTATTATCGTGAAGTTGTTGGTTTCGTTTATCACCAAGTTGTTGTATCATTTATGGTAACATGAGTAGTTGAATGCTATGGAAACCCTATTATGACATAATCATTTGCATTATTCTGGGAAATTTTGAATCATGGGATGTTTTGCAAAGGCTTTTGTGGTGTGTGTTGCTTAGGAAGTACATTGCTTGTTTCATTGTTTAGACGGTACAATGGCTGAATGTAGTAGGATTAATTTGAAGTTTCTGTATGATTTGAAACAAAAGGGAGAAAGTGCATTAATTGAGTGAATTAATTATGTAAATGAAGGTTCACTTAGTAGCCATAGTCCGGAACTACGTAGTATACTTTTGACTCTTATTTTTGTGAATTTCTGTGGCGACGCCAATATATGGATTGTAGTTTAGATAATTTTAGGAAGTTTTTGGATGCTGTTAAGGAATTTTGTGTGCCACAGACTGAAGACGAACGAATTTCTAAATAAGGTAAGGGGATTTTTGCTTTGTGTAGTGCTAAAATACATAACAGATTTTTCCTTTTTTGTGTATTTTATTGTTTGGTTTAAAATATAGTTTATTGAGATTGTGTATTTTTTTGTTTGCCTCTACTGCAGAATTGGGTGCTCCTTTGACCTTTTTAAGTGAAAATATATCGATGTGTACATGGACAACCTCATGGGAATGCATAAAGCATAGTTTGTGTGTGCAATTCGAGGATTTTTTTTTTAAGTGAAAATAGGTTGATGTGTACATGGATGGCGAGTTTGGGCAATTCTTTGACTTGTTATTTTGAATTGCGTAGCAGCGATTTTTGCGCCAAAAATTGCTGCTACGCAGGCCAAAATAACAAGTCGAAGCATTGCACAAACTCGGTATCCATGGTCCGCCAAAAATCGTCCCAAAAATTGCCGCTACGCAGGCCAAAATAACAAGTCGAAGCATTGCACAAACTCGGTATCCATGGTCCGCCAAAAATCGTCCAGGGATACCCTAAAATATACTTTTACCAAATAGCCTTTAGACGTTTTTCCAAAATCTCCGATTTGTGCTTCTTTTTTTTTTTTTTTTTCCCCTCAAAATTTTGCTATTTGAGATTTTAATTTCTGATACCAATTTCTTTCTAGATGTCATCCACCTTCTTTGTCACTGAACAAACATTCTAAAATTTTTCTTTTCTCAATACTTTCAATACAATTTTCTTAAGGATATTATTTTGTTTCTTCAAATTATCAATGCATTCTTGTTTATCCTTAAACTTAGAGCATTCAGGAATACCTACACTTTCATTTGTGAGTTTTATTTCAAAATCATTAACATTTGATTTATTATTGTCATCGTAATTTACTTTCGGCACAGCATTCCATTTCAACAGTTTCTTTTTGTGGCTATCCAAACAAGTGATTTTTCATATCATCGTCATAAACACTGCATAGAAAATGTTCGCTGTAGATTTTTTCACTCTTTACATTAATAGAATCTTGTCTTTGACATTTGTGTGTCCATTCTTTCGTCAAAAGCAAATTCTCATTTGGGTCCTTTGGTCCCGTGAAATAAAGTATCTCGTCCTTTCGTACTTCTATAAGGGCTATTATAAGGCTTCTATAAGGGCTACTACGGCACGTTACTACAGCACAAAAGACCATATTACATAAATGATACTTTACAATATAGAATTTGAAGTAAAAACGGACTAAAATTATATATATATTTATTTATATATATAAATTATTTTAAATATTTACATTATTACAAAACGAATATATATGATTAAAATTAATTTGAGATGCGTAACCTCTAGAAAATTGTCTTGCAGCTGAATGAAACTACAGTTTTAAACACGGGAAATCAGAACAGGTACATCATAGTGATGTCAGATTACTGGCGGTTAACCCCCCCCCATTAGGCTCGTGTCGTCGAGGTGTTGAACAAAGGAATGAACTAGCCCTTTCTATTTATCCCTGGTCTCTAGTAGTCCAAAAGAGATTGGATTTTAAAATCAGTTCAAGACTAGCTTTTACCCCTTTTCATTATGTGAAGAAATTCAACGAGTTTGTCTGCATGTATTCAGTCTATCAAGCTTTGCTAATAGTATTTCGTCGAAATTTTATCATGAAATAAAAAAAGAATGATGGATGACATTGAATGTCTCGTAACAATATATAATTCTGATATTGAATCATACAGTGAATATGAGTTTTCTATAAATGATTCTGGTAGTCCTGAAAATTCTTTATCGGAATTCTCTAGTGAAAATGATGAAACGGAAAGTTCAGATGATCCAATTCAGGTTTGTAACTTTTTGATATGAATACTAGTAATCCTCCCACCACCACCATGGTGATTTCCTTTAGCAGCAAATTTACTTCTTTCACATTTATCTCCTGTGAAGCGATCTTTCCAGTTTTGCAGTGTCCTGAGAAAAAAGCCAACTTTAAGTAAAAATGCTTTAATTTTGCCGTAATTAAAAATTGTCTTAATAAATGCAATACTTGTAACAGTTTTGATTGCTGATTTGAATTCATATAATCGATTAGAATACAGAATTGTTTGTACAAAATATGCTTGTTTTTGGTCAGAATATTGCAGGAAAATTAAACAGTTAAGTGTTTAAAGAGAAGGAAATTGATATAAATTAGCTAGAATGTCTGAAAAGTCTTCAAATTAAAAAGAAGCATAAATATTTTGTTGAGTACTGTTGCTATATATGTTTTGTAGCTTTTAATGGGTAATTATCATCATATCGTATAAGAATCAATGTCATAAACTACATGTATTTTAAACTGTGAAATTTTATTAGATTCTGATTTTAATAGGGCTTTTTAACAAATATTGTTATAAATAAATAAAATTTAATAGTGGCCATGTAAATCCATGATGAGTAAGGTTATCTAACTACCTAATTTAATTATTTATTACTAACTGCTGACCCTTAAAAATTATCTCTGCATATTAAAGTGAGTTATTGCCTTTCATTAATCCTTACTGTGTTCACAAGATAAAAAATATAAATATTTTAAATGATCAGTATACATTTTGATAGATTTTTCTGTGATGTTATATTAATGAGAAATTATATATCATGTATAAACATTATTGTGTTAATACAGTCAAAAGTCTTTAATCCGGACTCATCGGGACTTCGGCGATTCTGGATTCTAGATCATCAGGTTAAATCTGGTAAGATAACATGCAGAAATTATAAAATTAAAAATATGAAACCGTAATTTATAAAATAAAGAACAATTATGATCTAAAGGGTTCAAAATTTAAAAAGAAAAAAAAAAAAAAAAAAAAAGCTTAATATTTATTTGTTTACTTTATTAAACATTTCTTTCAACACGTGCATGCGTAAAGCATACATTATGCATAGTCGAAATTACAAAATTGCAACCAGAAAACTATTTGATGTGTATTCGAAATATTTATAATGAATTTGATTTAAATCATATAAAAGCCATAGTACATCGAGATGAAATACTACATTTAGTAATGAACTATAAGCTGAATAAAATAAAAACATCTGCCCTGAAGATAAAGGATAGTGCTGGACAGATTCAACTTCCAGTTCGATTGCGCGCCGCGATGTTCCCCTCCCCCGCAGAGCAGCGTGAAATTGATAAACAGATTTCGGAATGGTTAGAGAAACAAAGGATATGCCTTTATCCACTTTTTGTTTGATGGACGAAGAAACATGCTTTCGCTTTGTAGATCCTTTGGGAGCTCCAGCATCGGAAATTCTATTTGACATAATCAAAAGTTCAAGCTTACTTTTATAAAATTGCTCTAACAGTCTTCAAAAAATAATAAGCTGGATCCAATTCGAAGATTAAGGAACAACGCAATCTGCAACATTAACTGAAATAGATAATTAGATAATTTTAGCTTAGCTTTTACCGTCCGTTATACATTAAACGCGCATGCGTAAACGTATTATGCACATGCATGAATGCATTATGCGTTGACACATGCACAGAAAGATTGTAGCTTTGAGGTCTGGATTAACGACTTTTGACTGTGCTCTTATAAAATTGGAATGTAATTTTCTAAAATATATATGAAATTATGTATTTACAGATATGAGTGTGACAGAAGGGACACAGTTAATTGAAAAATGCTTGAAGGAACTCAATCATCGTTTTCTCGTTAGTTTGCCCGTATTTAAAGTAAGGATGGTAGATGAAAAAGGAATACACGATCTTCCTGACATCAAACCTACTGAATTACTTGCAGCTGTGAAATAAGTGTATGTTTCCATTGTAATAAAATAGTTCTTTTGTACTGAATATTGTGATTTTTTGTTTCTTATTTGTATTTTATTGGATTTGGAAGCTATGCATAGAAGTAAAACATTATTTTTAATAAACAATGAAAACATTGCTTTGATTTATGATGAATGAGATATTCATATTAAATTACAGAAATTCCTGTTTTCGATCTTGAAGATGCTTATGTAATAACTGGAATTCGTAAAAACTCGTAGTTTTTGCAGTCTGACTGTAGAGATCGTCATTGATATGAAGCAGTCATTAAACATTTGAAATAATTGCAATATTACTTCTAAGGATATGAGTAGTCAGATTCCCACATAACCAATACGAAAGGAGAAAAAATTATGTTGTAATACATATCCTAGGACATTTTTGTTTTGTATATTAGTGCTCTACATTTAGTAATAAATGATAATATAAAAAAATTTAAGAAGACACTCGTATTCTTTTACCTGCTGAGCTGTAGAGAAATTCTAAATCTTCCAATTTAATGCTGAAATAATTATTACACTTCGTGAAAAAGTAAAATGGAAACAGTTCAACCTTTACAATATTATTCAACAGAAATGTATAATAACACTTTATTATGACAGTTTTAATTAAATTATATTACAACGAACAAACTTTTTTGCATAAAAATAGAGGATTTTATTGTACATATATTATTTGATGATTTGGTACCATGTGCTTCAAAATAAGTATGCTCGTAAACATTTCTAGTATAAAGTACGAATATTAATTTTGTTTAACAATTCATCAAAAGGGAGAAAATGTTTTATTATGTTAGAGAACATATGTTTACTGCACTTTTTTTTTTTAAATATAGAGGGGGGGGAGTATAGAAAATGAATCGGAATATTTGAAGTTTATAACTGAAATTTGATGAAAAATGTAAGATATGGTAGTTTCACTAGAAACATAATGACAAATCGCCATAAAACATGTGGATAATTAAGAATTAAGATACATTATATGCTATGTGCACTTCAAAAAACTGAAATTTCTCAACATCAAAAATTCGCAATAATAGTATTTATATTTTTGTCAAGAAGTAAAAATGAAAATACATTGAAAGATGGTAACTAAAACGACATACACAGGACTGACATCTGCGAAGAGATATGTGGTTAAACTGGTATCTTTAACTGAGATAAATTAAAAAACACATGTTAACTCTTATCTAATAGTTTAATATTTTGTAACCTTGTGATTTAGATTATATTTTTATTTTTACTTAAAATATTTTTTGCTTTTATTTTATAATCAGAATTAAATTTTTGCATTACATGTTTGCAGGGGCGTAGCTAGGATTTTTGGCGCCCGGGCATAACTGAAGATTTTGCGCCCCTTTCTCTGTGCCAAGAACGGAAAACATTTCATTCTAAAATTTCGTAACATAATTTGGCGCCCCCTGAATTCTGCGCCTGGGGACAGATGTCCCCCTTGCCCCACCCTAGCTACACCACTGCATGTTTGGTGCTCAACGTGGCACCAAACAATAAATTGCAAATTGAGACCAAACAATAAATAACAACGTGGGGCCAAACAATTCCTTCAGTTTTTAAAGCACCTTTCTAAAATTTGCTAGATGTTCTTCGATATTGTTGAGGAACTACCTTGCTCCGATTCCAATTTAATATTAACTTTTGATGCTTTGAGTTTATTTTACTTCAGTCCTGCAGCTGTAGTGCAGGACAGGTTTAATTTATAGCCTATTATTATGTTTCTTATATATAACTTTCACACAGTTGAGAGTATATTTAAGACTAATAAATATAATTTTTCTTTAACCAGATTTTAAATTCTTATTTCCAAGGAATATGATTTTTTAAAAACATTTTCTATTGTGTGTACAGATGAGATAAAAACAACATATCATAGAAATTTTTAAGATATCAAGGGGTTTTGGTTTTCTTAAAACTGATTTTTAATTGAATGATTTGAATATTCAGCTTCTACTTGTAATTTCATGAAACCAAATTTGATATTTAAGTTAGGTTTTGATGGACTAAGTATCAAATCTTATTACATTACATATAAAATTTTAATGCACCTTTAATTATTTTTATTGCTCCTACACTGTAACATGAGTGTAATTGTAATAATTTTGTTAAAAGCTACTCATTTTAAGTTTAATGTTTATTTGACCTTAAATTAGTATTCTATTCTAAAGATTTAATGACTTTCATTGCTTCTGAAAAGCTATGCTAGTTTAAAAACCTATGATATTTTCTTTTTCTTAGAGTTTTTCTATTTATTTATTTTGTTATAGAGAGAAATTAAAAATATGAAGTCAGTGTTTAATTTTCCATAGAAGCTTTGTCTGATTCATGTTAAAGAATGTGATCAGCAGCATTAAAAGTGTTATAGTATTAGTAACTGTGTTGCCTGTTAAGGATCTAGTCTGAAAACAATAAAAATTTAAATTATTTCATATTTTAAAAATTTCACAATTGAACTATTTTAAATAACTTTATTGAGGTGATAAATATATACCGGAACACTTATTTTCCCATAATATTTGTCACAATTTATGAAATATTACCAGCTGTAAATTTGCTGGTATCATCCTAAAAGTATTCTTTATCATTAAAGAAATATATTTTAATTTTAAGTAAATTCAATCTAATCAATTAAAAACAGTTTTTAAAAGATATTCCAATAATAACATAGCTTTTCATTTAGGAAATATGGTTTCTGGATTATTCTGAGAGTTCATTGTTTTATGCAAATTGATAACTCATATGCACAGAGAAATTATCTCTATCCGAAGTTTCGTTTTCTACAGCCCAGTGCTCTTGACGTCAGAGACCAGTCTGATGGCTTTATATATTCAGGAGGCAATGGTACCACGCAGTCAATAAGATACAAAGAGTTATAGATTGGGTTTTCAAAAGTTTTCTTCGATTTTTGTTTTATTGTGATAAGTAAATAATACTAAAGATGCTTTTGTCAAAAATATAGTACCATTTATTAGAAAAGTTAAGCAAGAAGGATCAGCGTAATGTTCGTAAATTTTGTAAGACTAGTTTCATTGGCTTAAATACAGAACAAACTTTTTCAGCCAATTAACTGCGAGAAGAAAAATAAAAGAGTTAGAATATGGTGATAAGAATGAGTGGAAAAAAGTAAAGCTATTGGCACCAACTATTGATAAAGCAAGAAAACTAAACCATAATTTCCTGAAAGGCTGAGGAGGAAAATGGATTGGAATTAAAGTCGTTAACTAGAACAGAAAGAGTTTTTTGAACGTGAATGCTTCTAGATAATCTAATTCAGCAATGGAAGATGTTTTCGAATAGTTTTGGCTGCAGAAAAATGGAAAGTATGATTTTCTGACCAACAGTGCTGGGCAATGAGGGATTTCTGTGTTTCCTTTGTCCTAGCATATGCTTCATGTTTTTTAATTCGAAATTTTGAGGCTCTCATAGTTTAACCAATGTAAATAAAATCACATAGATCATCACTTTGCTGCTGGCATGAACTATTTTGAGTTTTTGCTAGTAAATCAAAATGCGCCCTAAGGCTTTTCACGGTAGTTAGAAAAATTAAGGTTATTATGCACCACACCCGAAGGCGAAAGAATCAGTAGTGACAAAGTCAAGCAAGCAGTTGTGCATGCAAGTAAGAATTAGGTAAGCATTTATAAAGTATAATCATATATAGAGTCACCACCAGTGTGCATTGTGATGAATAGATCTTGGACTTTTTACAACATATTCATTTGAAGGATCATATTTGGTGAGTTCTTTGATTGCAGTTCTTTGCTTTTTCGAAAACGTTATGAGCAGTAATTAACATTTGGTCATGGAGCGGATTTATTTTTAATTCCTCGTGGATGATGAAGATTCGAGAAACCATGGCACGTTCACTATTGATCTTAGAGTTTTGTTCTGCAAGGCATTTATTTTTACTCTTTCCATTTCATTTGCAGTGGTCCAAGCTGAAATTGCGTATAATAAAATAGGGTGAATGAGATATAAGTACGAGGGCCATCCAGGAAGTAGATTACGTTTCCGTCTGTGTCCGCTAGGGGCGGGGCTAGCGCGGCCATCTTGGGGTCAGAGCGTTGCGCAGCTCAGTCTGCATCTAGCCGTGCTAGTGAGAGGTTCGTGCTGTGCTCCGTTCAGATACTGTGACGGTTTGAAATGTCTGCGTTAATTGAAAATCCCGCGAGCTGCGAGGTGCGCTCAGTAATAAGGTTTCTGACTGCAAAAAACTGTAAACCGATAGAAATCTATCGGCAGCTTCGTGAAGTGTATGGGGACAACATTATCACTGAAGGTGGAGTGCGTCAGTGGGTCATAAGATTTCAAAATGGCCGAACCAATGTTCACGACGAAGATCGAAGTGGGAGACCCAGCATAGTGACCGCCGAACTTCTCGAAAAAGTCGATGCTAAAGTCCGTGAAAATCGAAATTTCACAATAACGGAACTTTCTTTGAGTTTTCCACAAATTTCAAATTTCGCGAAGTTTGTTGCACGAAATCATCAGCGAAAAGCTTGGTTACCACAAGTTTTGTGCAAGATGGATTCCAAAAATCTTGACAGAGGACCACAAAAATCAGCGAATGGCTGCAGCGTTGAACTTTTTGGACGCTTACCATAAGGATGGTGACTCTTTACTCGATCGCATCGTTACTGGTGACGAAACATGGGTGAAACATGTGAACTGTGAAACATGTGAACTGTGAAACGAAATTGCAATCAATGCAGTGGGGGCACACAAGTTCTCCCCAAAAACCCAAGAAATGCATGCAAACAATGTCGGCAAGGAAGATGATGGCGACTGTTTTTTGGGACAGAAAAGGTGTAATTTTGGTGGACTTCCTGGAAAGAGGCACTACAATAAACTCTCAAAGGTATTGCCAAACTCTCCAAAAACTCAGAAGAGCAATTCAAAACAAGCGCAGAGGAATGTTGAGCTCTAAGATCTTGTTGATTCACGACAACGCCCGGCCCCACACGGCAAATGTCACTCGTAAAGTTCTTGAATCTTTTAAGTGGGAGTTGT